GATGTCATGCTGCGGAACTGCAGCAAATCAAGCATTTTGCGATATGGACGTGTAGCCAATGGAATGTAGCGAAGCCGGAGGCCAGCGAACGAGCGGTTTTTCGATATAGGCGATTAGCCAACGAGATTTTGCGCAAGGAAAGCTAAGCCAATGAAATGCTTGTGGGTATGGCTCATCAGCGAATGGGATTTTGTGCAACAAAAGCTCCGCCAATCAGTGGTTTTTTTATATGGGCCAACAATCGATGTGATTTTGCGGCGCTAAAATCGGTCGAATGCAAGAATTTCCGAGATGAGCTGTTAGCCAATGGGATTTTGCACAACCGAAATTGAGCCCATCAGGGGTTTCTCATATGGAGCATCGATGAAGTATATTGCGAGGCGACAAAATTGGCGGAATCTTGCATTTTCGGGAGTGGATGGTTGGCAAAGGAAACTTCACGGAGTGGTACTCGAGCCAATCTGGTGTTTTGAAGCTATGGTGTGAGAAAATGAGATTTTGAGGATGTGGATGAACTTACCATGTATTTTTAGATTCAGATTTCTAGAAAACGAGTTTTGAAGAGCAACTAGTCAAGATAGTGATGGGTTCTTCGATATTCAATGTTAGTGTAGGAGTTTGTGAGTGCGCGCCATGGAGTGAACGTATCAATTCCACCGGTAAGATGCTTGGTTGTGACTGTCGGAAGTTATTTACCGCATAGAGTCCAGTCTGTTGAACGTTGTTGATGTATGAAGCTGGGTGTGTGTTATAAATGTGTGTTGTGATAATGAATATGATATGGATGATTTTGAAAGTTAAGGACGATGGCAACATTTCATTTTCTTGTGTGTATATATGTCCCCAACAGTTGATAGAGGTATGGCATTGTAACAAAAGACGGATAGTAGAATGTATTTCAAACTGAAAGTGTAGATTTGAATATGGTTGTAATACTTATTGGGCAGGGATGCATCTGTGTTTTCCTGCAAGTTTAATCATGTGTGAAGGCTAATGCTATTGTGCTACTTGTTTATGAAAGGTTGTTTTTTGAAATGAGGATCAATTTGTCGTCTTCAGTCGTCGATTTCATTTGTGGGTTAGTTATGAAGGGGTCAGTTGAAAGAACACTTCTCAGTGATAAGGTAGACATCGCAAAGAAAGTTGTCTTAATACTACTCGCCTTTTGTGAAAATCTTAGTGAATTTGTCAGATATCATGCGTGCCAGATTAGGCTTGTATTTTAGTGCATAACTCTCATATGCTGCTGGGTGTACTGATTGAATGCACAAGCGATAATGACTTCGTATCAATGGAGTTCGTTAACATACTTTAAATTTTTCATTCTCTTTTTACTTTTATAGCTTTTATTTAAAATAGGAGTTCGTACAAGTTTTACAAATGATCTATGGATCAGAAGAGTGAATTAAACACATTTCGAGCATGCAAAATAGAGTTTTTGCTTTGAGTTAGATGTTTTTTCTGAAGTCAGAGCACCGTTGAAGTTTTATTTTAAACTGTGAATTGAAAGCGTTTCCGAGTATCTTGTGCTATTCTATCTAATCGTTTAAGTTCTTCTATTTGGGCCGTTGATGGTTTAACTTGAAGTGTTGCAAATACAAATGGCCGTATAATAAGTATATCGTCAAGTCTCTTTACACGAGATAATGGAACATAAGCCGATGCAACTTCGAGTGGTCCAGAAGCCATGACCAGATCGACGATAATTTTACCGAGTGTTTGTCCTTGGGTTTTATGTGTTGTCATGCTATATGTCGGTATAAGCGGAAGTGCTTTACGTTTAACCGTGAGTTTTGTTGTTTTCTTGTTTATTTTGGCCGCTTTCGTTATATTTTCTGGAAGAAGTTCCTTGGCATCAAACAAGAATATTTGTTCACTAATGGCTATAGGAACTATTTTGGACTGCAATTCAGCAAGTTTGTCATCAAGTTTGCAACCAGAAAATTCTACCAAAGCATACTTTGGTTGCGTTATAAACTTGGTATTTGGTGGAAAATTCTTATCCTGGTATCGAACATCTTCTGGTGATTCATCGTATACAAATTGACGAAGGATTCCACGTGTACCGTTGGAGAGTCCGATCTCACTAGCGACGTTTTCTGTGAGTAAAACTGGCATTTCTGGTACGAGAGGTAAATACCCTGGAAGATATTCTGTTTTATTGTTAGGTAGTTCAAGTATTGCTTGACGTAACCGTATATCATCCACAGTTTTTCCTTGAATATAACCTTGACCAATGCATACAATTGGGGTAAGTCTCATTTCCATTGTTTTGTTTAAGACAGCCCTATTGTTAATTTGAGTACGTAGTGTATTCCGAAAAACCAGTATTGAAGTCTATTAAAAGAAAAGTAATGTGACACACAGAGAAAATGAATGTGCATACTTCGTTCCATGGCTTTTGTTGTAGAGACACTTGAAGTTTTGGATTTCCTATGACTCTCGTACACAGAAGTTGGTAGTTTTCTATTGTCGATTGTCCATGTCTTAATCTATTTAAAAGCTCCAAATATCTTATGTCTTCGGTTCGCAATTTGCTGAGTTAATTCAACAACGCAGTTTATTTCAGACATAAGCTTCTGTGTACACAACATATCTATCTGACGTTCTGTAACTTGCTGTGTCGGTGCGCAGCTATAGTAGAGAGGCTTGTCCAAAACAGGAGAATATTGAAGGTAGTCGCCGAAGAAAATGACATTGACACCACCAAAAGGTATCTCAGAATTTACGTGCTTCGCTGTTTTGACTATTCAATTTAGATGAGCTAAGAGGCCTAAAGTCCTACCATGCTCATCTCATCGATTATCAAGTACTTCACATGACGCCATTCATTTTCTAATTTCATATCACCAAGTCTAAATGTACGGGTTTGTTTCTTTTTATAGTTTTTGTGATTTTCACCTAAAAATGAATGGATAGCTAATCCATCAATCTCAACTGCTGCTATAGACGTTGGCGCCAGTTTACGCAACATCTTACCTCGTTTTGTTAGTTGGAAATACTTGGTGAGTGCACGAATCAACTGAGATTTTCCAGTACCACCGCAACCAGGTATGCACATTAATAACTGATTATCGATAGTACCTAAATATTAAGACTAACTAAACCTTACAACAACAAAATTGAGATAACATACCGGTATAAGTATAATGTTCGCACTCTAAGTGACTAGTAACAATCATAAAAGCATATTTTTGCTGTATATTTAGCGTAAATTGTTTGACGATATCCTGTTTTGTGGGAAATATAACCGCATTGATTGCAGTCACAGGTGAGATTCTCGTAACTTTCGTTTTAATTGGGCTTGTTGGAATTTCAGTACCTACGATCTCAATCTGTGTTTCATCATCTCGTACTTCCAGAGTATCTTGGCCTAAAATTAAATAGTTTCTTGTTTCATCTCGTCGGGCGTCAATATCATGTTTCCATTCTTTAATCATGGTCGTATGATGCTCGCGAGCTACGACAAATGTGTGGACGTATGATGCTC